CAGTTGGACAATCAGTCAACCAATCAATTAGTCATTCAGTGTGTAAGTTGGTTAATTAGTCACCCAGCCAGTCGGTGTTTAAATCAGTCAGTCAGTCAGTTTAAAGAGAAAATGTGACGAAACATCAAATCTCTCTCTCTCTCTCTCTCTCTCTTCTTTCTCTCTCTCTCTTCTCTCAAAGGGCTGGATCTTTTGGTCATTTTCAGGACAGTTACCCTGACAAGAAGAGACAGACAGACACCCAGACAGACACCTGCAGAGACAGGCACACAGACAGACACACAGACAGACACACACAGACAGACACACAGACAGACACCCAGACAGGCACACAGACAGACACCCAGACAGACACCCAGACAGGCACACAGACAGGCACACAGACAGACACCCAGACAGGCACACAGACAGGCACACAGACGGTCATATACATACACAGAGCGAATAAGAAAGAAAAGAGAGAGGTTAGGAGGAGAGAAAACAAGAGAAAATGTGAGAGAGAGAGAGAGAGAGAGAGAGAGAGAGAGAGAGAGAGAGAGAGAGAGAGAGAGAACGAAAGAAAACAGAAAATAAACAAGAGAACAAGAGAGAGAGCGAGAGAAAGAATGAGTGAGTGGGGAGAAAATGAAAGAGAAAGAACAAAGGAAAAAGCAAGACAGGAAGAACGAGAGAGAGAGAGAGAGAGAGAGAGAGAGAGTGAATCGAACCCAACTTCCTTTAACTCACTCGCCCATCAACACACACGCCTGAACAGCCCTTAACTACCCTTAGGTCAGTCTGTCTCTTTCCTGTGCCCTGAAAAAACTGGTTCCTGTGTCCTAAAAATAACTAGCTCCCAGCATCCCATCTTTTCCCTGTGACCTGAAAAACTAGGTCCCATCGCCCCTTAAGTCCCCTGAACCCTCACCGCCGCCTTTCTCTGCCCTGAACCATAAACCAGGTCAGGTACTCGACTTTTCTCCTGTCGAACTCAACGTTTGTCCCTGGTACACCCTGAACTAGTGGTATTTAACCGAATCTATCTTACCCTAAATCTAACCTGCCCTGCCCTGCCCTGCCCTGCCCTGCCCTGCCCTGCCCTGCCCTGCCCTGATCTACCCTGATCTGCCCATTAGGCTAGAGTTGGTATCAGAGTGGTAGCGTAAGAATTCCTGGTTTGAGAGAAAATTACTTGTATACAAATATTGTTAAACTTTGTTCGAGAGAGAGAGAGAGAGAGAGAGAGAGAGAGAGAGAGAGAGAGAGAGAGAGAGAGTGTGTGTGTGTGTGTGGTCAGGTTATCCCCTCACTCTTAAAAGGGCCCAAGCTTGTTATGGTGGGGAAGAACCACCTGAAGATTAACCCCTTCTTCAGTTTATTTCACCTAATGACAAAATATCTTAACGCTACCTTGGGTGAATTAGGTTCGGTGAGATTAGATTTAAAACGTTAGGTTAGATTAGGTTAGGTTAGGTTAGGTTAGGTTAGGTTAGGTTAGGTTAGGTTAGGTTAGGTTAGGTTAGGTTAGATTAGCGTTAGGGTGTTTAATAATCAGGTGAAATAAGCTGAAAGGGGGATAATCTTCATGTGATACTCAGGAAAATAAGGCAAATCTTTCGAGTCGTGAAACTGTTGACAAGTTATTTCCTTTCAAGTACACGGAGCAGCAACACTGACAAGACAGGTCGTGACTCTTTCTCAGTTCACTCAATACAAGTTTTAGATTGAAAGCCAACGAGACTGTACACTCTCCCGCAGCGAAGTGACGGCAGTTGTGAGATTGTGGAAGTGTAACAGATTTTGGGCCGACTGGTATTATTATTATTATTATTATTATTATTATTATTATTATTATTATTATTATTATTATTATTATTATTATTATTATTATTATTGTTATTATTATTATTATTATTATTATTATTATTATTATTATTATTATTATTATTATTATTATTATCATTATTATTATTATTATTATTATTATTATTATTATTATTATTATTAATATTATTATTATTATTATTATTATTACCATAAGCTTGTTGTTGTTGTTGTTGTTGTTGTTATTATTATTTTGCTGGGCAGATGGTGCACATAGAGAGAAGCTTACGGTGCTGTTGGAGACACTAAATGCAAATTTTCTGTCTCTCCCATTTTATACCCCTACTGTGAATGGAAGGTGGTATATTGAATCACTCCTGTTGGTCTGTCTACCTGTGCATTTACACCACCCAAATATGTCATCAGGATAGTGCAGATAATACCCAGCATAGAGTAGTGAACTATTGTAGGATCCGTCTTATACAACATTGGATCACCTGAAGATTAGGAAACCCACTTTACCTCACCTGAAGATGAACCACCCTAACATAACCTGGGGAAGTTAGGTTAGGTTAGGTTAGGTTAGGTTAGGTTAGGTTAGGATAGGTTAGGATCGGTTAGGTTAGGATAGCATTAAAATGGTTAATCTTCTGGTGAAATAAGCCAATGTGTTTAATCTTCAGACGGACCACAACAATGTTTAATCTGATTAGATTCTTAAGGTGTTTGATCTTTACACCTTTGTAGTAGTTGTGTTTCAAGAGTAAAATAGTATTTCTTTTATCCTGGGCAGTATCGTTCACCTCTTGGCGTTTATGTCTTTCGAATGTTTTGGAATGTGGATGAACCTCTCCGCTGTCTGGACCTGGTAAATTGTGGTGACCAACATGGAAGATTAATGTGGTTTGTGGTGGACTCTGTGTGTGTGTGTGTGCGTGTTCGTTTTTCACGTAATCAGTAGCATATAAATCATGGAAATACAATACATATAAGTTCCTCAAAATCTAAATCTTCCTCACCTGTATCTCACTTCTCCCTCACATGTCTATATCTCTCACCTGACCAGAGAAACAACACAACACCTGTCTGGTAATTTCCTGATCCCATTTACTCTCTCTACCTGTACTGTGCTAACTTGTCATTACCTGTCTTCAGCTCTGACGTGTGTAGTGAAGGATCTGTCACTGTTTGTAGAAGTGAATGGTTTAGCGTAGAAATAGCGTTGATAGGATTATTTCTCTAGCCGTAGGAAAAAAGTTTATTTCTGATTTATGTAGCGTTGAATAAAAAGGTTTATTCTTGTTTCACCTGTGTTAAAAAAAAAGTATTATTTCTGTCTACGTATCTAATCATAAACTAATTACTTTGTTGAATTAAATACAGGCAGACAGTAGATACGAGTTACTATAATAATAATAATAATAATAATAATAATAATGATAATAATAATAATAATAATAATAATAATAATAATAATAATGATAATAATAATAATAATAATAATAATGATAATAATAATAATAATAATAATAATAATAATGATAATAATAATAATAATAATAATAATAATAATGATAATAATAATAATAATAATAATAATAATAATAATAATGATAATAATAATAATAATAATAATAATAATAATAATACTAACGATATCAATAATACTAATAATAATAATGATAATAATAATAATAATAATAATAATGATATCAATAATAATAATAATACTAATAATAATAATAATAATAATAATAATAATAATAATAATAATAATAATAATAATAATAATAATAATAATAATAATAATAATAATAATAATAATAATAATAATAATAATAATAATAATAATAATAATAATAATAGCACCATCAACACAAAGAAAATATAAATAAGGAAGTGGAGCCACTAGTTTTTGTGGCTCCTCGACATACTTCCCCAAGTCTAATCCCCACGTTGGGAGTTGATGACGTCACGACAAGATCAGCTGACTGGTTGGCTAGATACCTTTTATTAATTTCTAAAAGTAAAAACAAAAAGATGATAAGAAATAATCCTCCGTTGTGGTCCGGGTGAAACAGTTCATCAGGATAAATGTGGTGTTGTAGACCTTGATGCCGGGATGTTATCATGGTTGTGTTATCATATATTTTATCATAATTTTCGGGGACGCAATCATTACCTGGCCCTCTGGTGAAACACGCACACTAGAAATTTTCTCGTTTGAGGTATTATAGGCAGCTAAACTCTCTCTCTCTCTCTCTCTCTCTCTCTCTCTCTCTCTCTCTCTCTCTCTCATATGCATTGATGTAGTTTTAATTTGTCTAACCCTTTGAGGACGACCATTTGAGTATCGTTTCCAAAGGGAGAAAATATCGCTCTTAAAGGTTAAACTTTCATCACCCCCAAAAAGGTTAAATCATCATATTCAAGGGACTAAACCTTCATCCTCAAAGTTAAACCATCATTTCCAAAAGCTTAAACCATCATTGCTAAAACAGTTAAACCATCAACCTGATATACCCTCGTACTCAAAGGTTTAATCAATCTATCATCATACACTGATTCTTATAAGGTATAATTATTTCAGTCCTATTTCTCCCATATTTTCTCAACGACGTATAATAATTTTTTCAGGTGTATTCCTCTTAAATCTTGCTTCTGAAAATTTGGAGGCAATAAATCATATCGTTGTTTGGGAGGTGGAACGTTAATTATCCTCTACAGGTATACGCTGACGTCGATGGTAAAATACTCACTTTTTAGTTTACCTCGAAGCTTGATCGACTTGAACCAAAAGTAACTGGTGACTGTCAAAAATATATAGAATGGGTGAGAACAAACTGACACCTGCACAAGACTGTAAAGACTCGCCTGTGTATCAGTTACTTCTTGTTCACCCTGTAGAATTTTTAAGGTGATTGGTCAATGCGTTCAGTAGTTGGAGTCATTACAATAAGAACGCGTAAGGTAATTAACAAGGAAAACAAATAAAATACAACTTTTAGATTAATATATTTTGTGATTTTTGGCAAGTGATGATTGATATAATAAGAACCGGTTATAGTTAGAAATATGATGATGAGATACGATTTTTCTTAAAGAATCCTAAATATTTATTCGAATTTTTAAAAACCTTTAGTAATATCTTTAAACACACTTAAGAGAGTCGGCACTTATATACGATTTGCTCTCAGATCCAGTCAAGACAGAGACCAGTCCGGGAGAGTATAAATACTACAATGACGCGGATAAACAAAATACCATCTGGCTTTGTGCATCAGACGGCGTACCACAGGAGGGTTTGTGGGCTCCATATTTATTTGTTTTTGATGCACTTGATGATTAAACACCCTAGCACTACTTAAAGGGGTTCATTTATTTAGGTTAGGTTTGATTAGGTTAAGGTGTTTAATCATCAGGTGAAATAAGCTGGTTAGCCAAATCTTCACATGATGCCCACATACATGTTCAAGCATACGAAGGTTGACTCGAGAAAGATGAGAAGATTATAAGACAATAGATAAGAAGTGCAGGGAGGATTGATTAATGCACAGACAACGCCATCTGTTGAGTGAAGATGAAAGTTGTCCACAAACGCAGACCACAATATTTACAACACACCTGCATGTTATCTCTGCCACACTTATTTTAACGTGGAGGTGAATACTCGACGGTTAATTGGGTACTGAGGACGTGTACACTGTCATTGGTGGTCAGACATAAGGACGTGTACACTATCACTGGTGGTCAGACATAAGGACGTGTACACTATCACTGGTGGTCAGACATAAGGACGTGTACACTATCACTGGTGATCAGACATAAGGACGTGTACACTATCACTGGTGGTCAGACATAAGGACGTGTACACTATCACTGGTGGTCAGACATAAGGACGTGTACACTATCACTGGTGGTCAGACATAAAGACGTGTACACTATCACTGGTGATCAGACATAAGGACGTGTACACTATCACTGGTGGTCAGACATAAGGACGTGTACACTATCACTGGTGGTCAGACATAAGGACGTGTACACTATCACTGGTGATCAGACATAAGGACGTGTACAACCACCCAGTTACGTCCAATTTAGTTTGAGTTCGTGAAATTGGATACTCACAGAATACTCATCAAGCTCTTTTGTCATGTAACTGAAGATCGTACGATGTACTTAGACCTCCTACAGTGTCATCAACTTCACCGTCATCTTGTCATCAACATCATTATATCTTCATGGTTGAGTGTCATATAGGACGCGCCCATCAGATTAGTGCATAATATAATAATACCAGTTTACTCCCAGCCGACACCTCTCGCCTTAGCCAGCAACAGAAAACGGGGGATGGTACACAGGAGGAGGGGGAACATCTTTAAAACGAAGTCGATACATCGCTCTCCCTATGGCTTCTTGCCTGCAGCCCCTAAACCAATTTTCAGGTGACGGGAGCAGAATGGCGCTGAATATTGTAGCTGACGATCAAAGTGAACTCCTGGTTGGCTGGGATAAAGGCACAATGATTTAAAAGCCCTTTTTATTTTAACTTGTATATAGGTATACCTCTCCATATACAAAGTGTGTGTGTGTGTGTGTGTGTGTGTGTGTGTGTGTGTGTGTGTGTGTGTGTGTAAGGGCTATGTGTATACTCTTATGTGCGTGTGTGTGTCACGACTTTCTTTGTATAAGGAAATTGCTTCCTTTCGCAAACATAATTTATTAAGTCATATATTCAGAAAAAAATAATCCCAAGAGTTTAGATATCGTCTCAAGTATTTTTATCAATATTTATACACAATACTGAGATGACGTTAGGGTGGGTTGGTTAGGTTAGGTTTGGTTATGTTAGGTTGAGTTTTGTTAGGTTGAGTTTGGTTATGTAAGGTTGAGTTTGGTTTTGTTAGGTCGGGTTTGGTTATGTTAGGTTGGGTTGGGTTAAGGTTACGTTAGGTTAGATTACCTTTGGTTATGTTAGGTTTGGTTATGTTGGGTTAGGTTAGGCTAATCTAGTCTAGGTTCACTAGGTTAGGGTAGTGTGGGCGTAAACCTCTGAGTTTATGTTGTGTAGGTTCTGTGGGTATTAAATTGGCCTACGGAAATGATGGTAATTCTCTTGTCTTATTATTAATGTAAAAAAAAATTACGAGTCAATTAAGGATTATTTGTACATATAATACACACACACACACACTCTCTCTCTCTCTCTCTCTCTCTCTCTCTCTCTCTCTCTCTCTCTCTCTCTCTCTCTCTCTCTCGAATTCCCCTTTCTTAAACATTGTATTCTTTAAATGTCAACATATTTTGATAGTAATGTTAAGAAAAAATAACATTAACACCAGCCACTTCTTACCTGACTCATTAACTATGGTAACAAGATGTGCCTTTTAAGCAAATATAAAACAAACTCATTCTCCAAACTCATTTCAAACTCTCAAATCTCCAGTCATTGTTACATCTACTGGAAACATCTCTCAAAATAATCTTAGCAAGTATTGGATCGGATACCTCCATGAGGATTCTCTGTTCCATATATGATTCACTGTTAAAACGGATAAATTCACTGTTTAAAGACAAACGGGAAATGCCACTGCCTCAATCTATTCACTGTTTAGACGGAAAAGGTCTCTATCTAATAAACGGTTCTCTGTTATAAGGGGAAACAGGGTAGCTCTTAATTAACCGTAGTGTGTCGATGAGGACCTGTCTCGTTCCCAGTCGACGGTCAATATCAGTGTAACATGACCTGACGCCTGTGTACACTCGTAACCCAAGAGAGGTGTAGTGTCGTAACCTAAAACCCGCTGTTCTGATTTAACTATGTAACAGTTTCACACACACACACACACACACACACACACACACACACACACACACACACACACACACACACACGAGTTGAAAAGAGATTGATGGAAGGAGAAAGAGGGAGATAAAAAGATGGAATTAAAAGAGAAAGAGAGACGGAGATAGCCAGGCAAACAGGGATCACCACCATCACTATCACCACCACCATCACCATCATCACTACCACCACCACCACCATCACCATCATCCCCACCATCACCACCACGACAATACCTAGGTGTAGTGCGCGTCAGGTGTTCTCGGGGCCCACCCACCTACCTGTTGCCTGGCTTGACCCAACCCTGCACCACTGCCCTCACCTGTGACCTTTGAACTTTATCAAGATACACACCTTTATGTTGTCTGGGAGTTTGACCTTATGAAAATGTTGTTGTATTTTATGTTGCAGTGTGTTCAATGAAATATGAAAATATGTTTTGTAAGTTAACGAAAAGCTGAGATATATTGTGTAAATGATAGAAAAGACGATACAATTGTTTTATAGATGAAGACGATAAAAATGGAAATCACTTTGTAAATTATTGAAGAACTGACTATTACTTGTTGTAAATTAAAATGAGAATGAATATTTAGTTAGCAAATTATTGGATGGAAGATAATTATTTCTTCTTTGTCTTGTTCTTATCAAATGTTTGGGCGTCGTCGTGTGTGTGTGTGTGTGTGTGTGTGTGTGTGTGTGTGTGTGTGTGTGTGTGTGTGTGTTTAAACATTTTGCTTATGCTTTGTCTCTATGCATAATCTTCATATACAGGTTTATTACATGAGTTTTCTGGCCGTGCCTGTGTGGACGTGTGTACACTTAAATACTGTGCCTGTGTGGACGTGTGTACACTTTATACTGTATCTGTGTGGACATGTATAGTCTTTAATGCTTTGTCACGCTGCAGAATACAAAATTATTCCAGCTGTTTATATTAATACATCACAAATTCTCTATAACCTCCCTAACCTCCCCACCCCTTTCGTTTCTCCGTGCCGCAGTCGGTAGGGTGCGACGGTGTGCTGGGGTCTGGACTGCGGTTGGACTCGTGTGGGCACTGCGGTGGGGACAACAGCAGCTGCAGGGTGATCGCGGGCATCTTCTCCCGAGCCAAGATGCCTTATGGGTATAACCTGATCGCCACTCTGCCCCGAGGAGCCGCCAACATCACCATCCAACATGTGAAGCCTTCCACCAACTACCTCGGTCTGACCCCTGTTTGGTTGGGAGTCTTAGAGGGATTGGCAAGCTTAAAGAGTCATGGGTTGAGGGATTGGGAAGCTTAAAGAGTCGTAGGTTGAGGGATTGAATACCTTAAAGAGTCATGGGTTGAGGGATTGAGTAGCTTAAAGAGTCATGGGTTGAAAGATTGGATGGCTTAAGGAGTCAGGGTTTGAGGGATTGAATATCTTAAAGATTCATGGGTTGAGGGATTGAGCAGCTTAAAGATTCATGGGTTGAGGGATTGAGCAGCTTAAAGATTCATGGGTTGAGGGATTGAGCAGCTTAAAGAGTCATGGGAATAGGGATTGCGTAGCTTAAATAGTTGAGGGATTGAGTAGGTTAAAGAGCCATAGGTTGAAGGATTGAATACCTTAAAGAGTTATGGGTTGAGGGATTAAGCAGCTTAAAGAGTCATGCATTGAGGGATTGAGCAGCTTAAAAGAGTCATGGGTTGAGAGATTGAACAGCTTAAAGAGTTGTGGGTTGAGAGATTGAGTAGATTAAAGAGTCATGGAAAGAGGGACTGTGTAGCTTAAAGAATTTGATGGATTGAGTAGGTTAAAGAGCCATAGGTTGAGGGATTGAGTAGCTTGACGAGTCATGGGTTGAGAGATTGAGCAGCTTAAAGAGTCATGGGTTGAGGGATTGAGCAGCTTAACGAGCCATAGGTTGAGAGATTGAGCAGCTTAAAGAGTCATGGGTTGAGAGATTGAGCAGCTTAAAGAGTCGTGGGTTGAGAGATTGAGTAGATTAAGAGTCATGGAAGAGGGATTGTGTAGCAAGAATTTGATGGATTGAGTAGGTTAAAGAGCCATAGGTTGAGGGTTAGTACTGAGTCATGGGTTGAGAGATTGAGCAGCCTAAGAGTCATGGGTTGAGGATTGAGTAGATTAAAGAGTCATGGGTTGAGGACTGAGCAGCCTAAGAGTCATGAGTTGAGGATTGAGTAGCTTAGAGTTATGGGTTGGGGTGAGAGCAGCAAAGAGTCATGGGTTGAGAGATTGAGCAGCCCTAAAGAGTCATGGGTTGAGAGATTGAGCAGCAAGAGCCATAGGTTGAGAGATTGAGCAACTTAAGAGTCATGGGTTGAGGAATTGAGCAGCTTAAAGCGTCATGGGTTGAGGGATTGAGTAGCATAAAGAGCCATAGGTTGAGGGATTGAGCAGCTTAAAGAGTCGTGGGTTGAGGGATTGAGTAGCTAAAGAGCCATAGGTTGAGGGATTGAGCAGCTTAAAGAGTCGTGGGTTGAGGGATTGAGTACGTAAAGAGTTGAGGGATTAAATTGATTTAGATTCTATACAATTTTTTTTGTATTTTATAAGAGATTGTATTCCAACGGAGGTCATGTCTTTGACCTCTCCCTCTCCCACCTGGTTGTTCCCCTGCAGCACTTCGTCACCAGGGCGGAGAATTCTTCGTGAACGGCAACTGGGCGGTCAATGCGTCAGGGAACTACCTGTCAGGGGGCACCACCTTCACCTACTTGAGGCCAGAGCGCTACCAGGGAGACAAGGTGACGGCTATGGGGCCTCTTGACCAGCCTGTAGACGTGATGGTGAGTAACCCCCCCCCTACCCCCCCCCCTCCTTCCTCTCTCGCTCTCTCACTCTTTCTTTCTTTCTTTCTTTCTTTCTCTTCTTTCTTTCTTTCTTTCACGCTCCAAAAAAAATAATCCCTTAGTTTTGTAATATATTTATTTTCTATTATCTCCTCCTTCCTCTTATTATCTCATCATGTCATAGTAATACATTTTCGTCGTGGTGTCATATCTTGCCGCTGTGTCATGTTCTAGTGTCATGTCTTCTCCCGGTGTCATTTACTCTCTGTAATTAGTGTCATCTTTTTATCTCAATATGGTTGTCATATTATATAAGCATTGTCTTCGTGTGCTGTTTTTTGTATCCTAATTATCTCTGTTGTTGTGTGTCAACTTTATCTTCATTTCCTTTCATTTAATCGTTTGGTGATAATTTCTCTCCTTTATTTTTTTCTTTGTTGTTGATTCTTTCTCGTAATTGTCTCTCTCTTTTTTGTTATCTTGATTTTCTTATTTATTTATGTTATTTGTCTTGATATTTTTGTTTCGGTTACATCTGCATTTGTCTTTTAACAGCTAGGTAATAATTCCTGTTTATATGTGACTAATAGCGTCATGTTTTACCTGTGTTAATGAGTTGTTTTCAATCTTTAAGTCATTTATGTATTCCATGAGTAGGTGTATCTATAGTGTGATAGTGTAATTGATGATGATGATGATGATAGTTATGATGAGTGTTACACATCAGGTGGTTATGACGTCATAATAGGGCCCGGGTTAGCATTAATAATCTCCGTCTGTCTCTCCCTGGCAGCTGTTCTACCAGTCGACCAACCCGGGCATCAAGTACGAGTACCGGCTGCCCATGTCATCACCGTCGTCGTCGTCAAAGCATGTGTCTGGGGGCGTGGTACCGGGTTCCCCCCAGAGGCCCAGGCGACCCGATAACCCCCTCAACCCCAACGTCCCTGGAGGACCCGCTTCCAGGACTCCTCCTTCGGGTACATCACCTTTCTTCTCCGTCGGTACCTTTGGTAGCCGCTTTGTCTCAGGGGTCGTGGGTTCTTCGTCCAATGGCGGCACCATACGCCAGTATCGTCCCAGCGGGCAGAACCACTTAACACATGCTGCACCTAGGTCCGCCCAAGACCTTACCCACAACTCTTGGCTGAGCAATATTAATCCTGACGTCAATCTTGAGGGCTCAACTGCCCTGAGGGCGTTAGGGCCTGACTCACAACATAATATGGACGGCTTATTATCCATAATTCCTAATTCAAACACAATCCCCTCACCACACTCCTCCAGGCGTGATCGACATCCATTCTCCATAATTAGTGGTAGCTCAAAACACTCACACACAGATAGTGGCACCTCACACCACTACTACACGGGCAAACTTCACATTGATGCACCCTACGAGAGCAGTAACTCTCTTTATACAAGTAAACACAGCCTTATCCCACCTTACACAAGCAGTCGCACTTCAATGATACCCTACACATCCAGCCGTAGCTCTAATGGTTCTTATAAGAACAAACTCGGTTTTAACTCTCCTTATACAAGTAAACATGTCCCCACCACCAGCAGTCTCACCTCCAGCCACTCTCATGGACACAGTCACGACCCCAAGCTGGCCTCCCCAGTCAGGTTTACCTCTAATATACGAGACACACACAGAATCAGCGCCAAGCTCAACCATCCTCACGTAAACAGCGTTGCTTCTTCCTCTTACCACGTAAACAATCTTAGTTCTTCTTCACGCAGTGCTGACAGCTTCACGCCACACACTGCACTCGCTCCTCACCACCGCTTCCAAATCTACCCTCATCCTCGCACACCCCTCCACTCAACACATATTTCCTCCAATAAACGAGGGCAGACACAGTCAAAAGAAATTAAAGACACAAGTGATCACATCATCTCTGAGAAACACGGTGAAATATTCCTCACTCACAGTCGTCTACCAGCTGTGGCTTCCCCAGTTAGTAGGAATAACTCTCCTTCACCCTTCTCGTCTAATCATATAGTAGGATCTGTTTTGCCAGCCAATGGCCGTAAATCTAAACCATCCATCTCTACCAATCACTTGTCAAGTTCTAATCTATCATTCAGTGCCGTGTCACCAACCTTTCCCCACCTGGCCCCTGGCGGTGCAGCTGAGAAGCGTTGGGGGTACCCAGGTATGTGTAGGTGTCTCAGCTGGTGCACGATACTCTCTCAAGAATATATTCCACCTCTCTCTTCCTGTTCTTGTAGTACAAACATGACGTAATAGAGCGTTCTTCCTTGAGTATCGTAGATGAGACACGATCCTTTACGACACGTAGTTAACTGTTATGAGTAACTCTGGGACAACTTTATAGCTGGTGTAAAATATCGTAAGGTTCTTGTATGCATTATTGTAAAGGCGCACTAGTTCTTCTCTTTGGTGTAAAGATAACAGAGTACATCACCCAGGTGAAGCATCCCCTTGCAGTATTCTCAGTAGACCTGGGACGGAATAACCTTGTTAGTGGAGTTATGATATATTATTCTTATATATATTTTCCAGAGGGACGCGAGTCTTTAACGATCTTAGTGACTAGGTTGTTATAGACGGGTCAAGACGTTCTCCTGATTTAGTCTTGGGACTGACTATTCTCTCTCCTTAATGTAATATATTTTTTTCTAAATATTATTAAAAAAAGGTTATAATTTATAATTATTTTCTCTACTAGATAATCAAACTATTGCACCTGTGTGAGGAGTAAGGTGCCGTGGAGGCCAGCTGTTACCTCACTCCCCTGCCTCCTCATTGTACCTGTGTGAGGAATGAGGTGCCGTGGAGGCCACCCGTTCCTCACTCCCCCACTTCCTCATTATACCCGTGTGAGGAATGAGGTGCCGTGGAGGCCACCCGTTCCTCACTCCCGCACTTCCTCATTATACCCGTGTGAAGAATGAGGTGCCATGGGTAAAAAAAAGAAACGCCACACTAAAGGCAGCTGTTCCTCACTCACCTGCCTCCTCATTAGACAACTTCCTCACCTGTAGTAGAGGCCCCGTCGACCACTTTTTTTACCGGGTGTTCTCTTGTAGTTTTTCTTACTAATGAGGTGCTCACTACTCAGCCTTTTTCATCAGTCACCAAATATGCCTGAAATATATGTTGTTTTATTCAAGTCTCGCTCATTAGGTTTTATAATGTTGGGGATTTTTCGCAGTTCAGAATAAAAGATGAGAAAAATATAACAAACAAACAAACAAACAAACAAGTCCTGTGTATAAAAAACAAAAACAATACGAGTCTACATACACACACACACACACACACACACACACACACACACACATTTTTTCTCTCTTTATAGATATAGAGAGAGAAATAGAAGAGAGAGACCCACTATTGTTCAGTTCGAGTATAAATCAAGTGCTGAACATGTACGGGAGTCGCTGTATACTGGAGCCTAACTTACTGTCTCTTAACCTACAGTCATGAGTGTTATCTGATGCATAATACATAGTAAAACAGTTGATATGATCCACGCAGGTCCTGTGAATGACGCCCGCTCCGTCAACGGCAACTCTGTCCTCTCCTCCCAGCGATGGAAAGAGGAGGAGGAGGAGGAAAGGAAGAAGAAGAGGAAGGAGAGGAGAGGGAAGAAGAACGGGAGGAAGGGTACAGGTGGCGTGAAGAAGAGAAGGACGAGGTATGAGTGGAAGGTAGTAGGATTTAGCAGCTGTACGGAGACTTGTGGAGGAGGTGAGTGTTTTGATGTTACTACTACTACTACATTTACTATTACTACTACTGCTACATTTACTATTACTACTACATTTGCTATTACTACAAGCACCACTATTACCATTACTACTATCTCAAGTACTTCCACTACTCCGACTATTATAACTACCACAACCTCTACTACTACCACCATAACTACAATAACTCGTCACATCTACTACTACTACGACTGACTGCTATCATCACCATATCTATTACTACTAACACCACAACTACCACTATCATACCTACCATTACTACTACTTTTTTTTTTTTAATATGGCTTCCAGTCTCCCCCAATAGCCATACCTTCGCCACCATTTTATTACCTTATTATTAAATATCCTAATACATAAGTAGCTATCCTGGCTGTGTTGAGTTAGTTGAGTCGCAGATCTATGCGGCATTCAGTGACTGCAGCCTCATAGTCAATATCTGCAACTGTTGTCGGCTTTGGGGCCGATGCTCTCGTTCCCCTGAGGCAGAGCAAAGCCGACCGAAGGAGATAGAAAGACAGTCGACATCTCAGCCAGGCTGTAACATAACTTCTGGACTGCTGTTTCTGTTCGGATATCACCTCCGCGAGTCTGGTGTAGAAGCATCTTGCACTTGATCCCATCCCACTAGAGGAGTGAAGCTGCCTTGATCAACGTTCTGGATTCTCTCCCCGTATGCCCTTATCTTGTCGTTCTCGTGCCTCCTGTGTGCAGCATCGAGAGCTAAGTTACGGTGACATGTGGCCATGGGATCAAAAATCCTGATGTCGATGAAGGCTCTCTGTCCCCTCGTCCAGAATCCTCGAGCACTGACGTCAACACGGGCTTCGTTGGATGTGTTTGAAGTCCTATGTTGGAAAATCTCACCGTCCAATGGAAGGAGGGTCGGTTCAACCCTGACATCACGGCAGATTTCCTTCAACATATTTGCTGTGAGATCCCTTACTTCGTCATGCCTCATGCATATGAAGCCCCCTTTCTTGCACTTCATGGCGTGATCGACGTCATAGGAAGAGCCACACACACATTGGGATGGCAAACCTTCTACTGGCCTACTGTACCTTAGAGCATTGGCATCTGTAAATTCTTGTTTATTGAGACTGAAACCATTTGCCCTTATCGGTAACGTAGTTAACCAGTTCGAGGCACCCACCTCCTGCGTTATAGCTACTTCTTTTCTTCAAATTCTCTGGTACTTGCAGCAACAGTTGCTGCAACTTATCACTTTAGCCGTGCTGTCGTTCTGTTGTAATGGACCTTCTAATCTTATTAACTTCATTGGTATCCACCTCCCCTGTTGCGTTCTGAACTATTATGTGGTCCGTGAGGGCTGCCGTGAGCTTAACTGAGTTTTGATGTTCGGTGGCAGCAATCTCTTCTGGATTGGTCAATCCCATTCCTCCCAGTCTCTGTGGTAGTGCAAGAAGTGATCTTTCTGCTGGGGTTAAGTGAGGGTGTTTCACTAATTTGGGAATGAAATTGACGCTGATAGCTTTTTCCAGAGGTTGGAGCAGTACCCACCACCACCACCACCACCACTACCACCACCACTATTATCATTAACAACCACCACCATCATTACCATCAACAACCGCCACAACCACTATTACCAACCACCACCACCACCACCACCATCAACAACCACCACCATCACCATCAACAACCACCACCACCACCACTACCATCTTCAGGCTGGAGTTACGTATTTTAATTATTATTAAATCCAAAGAAATTAGGTTTTTGTAATTACCATATAATCCAAAGGGAGAGCATGGAGGGGGGGGGGGGGATTTACTGTTAAATCTCCCAGAACCGTAAGTTTATGAGGATTAATGACAGTGTATTCGTCTGTCTATTTGTCCGTCTATCTATTTGTCCGTCTATCTATGCGTCCGTCCATAATAGATACAGCTGCTAATCGATATAATGTAACATGTGTGGATGATTTATGTTGACTTTATGACACTGTAGTATAGTTAGTGTCTTTTTTGTAGAGCTACGGGCGTGTAGGTAAGAGGAGTAGTTTTGTAGTTAAGAGGTGTTTGGAGGTGGTGGGATGGAGGCAAGGTGTGGTATTGGTAATTATTGTTGTATCTCAGGTGTGAAGGTTTAAACGAGGGATTTATTTTGTTGTTTGAGTAATTTTTTGTGTGTGTGTTGATAGTCTGTGGGAAGGAGAAGGAAGTTTGTGATTTGGTTTTGTGGTTTTGTTTTGTGTTTGGAAATGTTTTTTGTATGCCAAATATTTTGTTTTAATTTGTATTTTATTTTTTCTTCTTATTTTATTTTATTTTATTTTTTGTTATTGATAATTGGTGATGGTTATTTTATGATATGTGTATTATAGTATTTATATAGGTTATTATCACCTTATCTCTCTCTCTCTCTCTCTCTCCCCTTTACCCTTCCTTACCTTTTTCATCTAAACACCTCTTTCACCCTCCCGCCACCCTCCCACCCTCCCCCTACCGCCCTCACACTCCTCCCCCCGCCCACTCACTCTTCCCACCGCCCACACACCGCCCACACTAACACGGTGGTGCTCGTGGTCTCCGGCAGGTTCACAGACGACCCGGGTGGTGTGTGTCAAGAGGAAGCGAGGTAACGAGGTACCCAGCAGCCACTGTAGGGTCCTGCCCAGGCCAGCCGAGGAGACCGTCCGCTGCAACCTACGGCCCTGCCCTGCCACGTGAGTGTGCGAGAGAGACCCTGCCCTGCCACGTGAGTGTGAGAGAGTGAGAGAGATACCCTACCCAGCGAAGTGAGTGTGAGAGAGATACCCTGCCCAGCCAAGTGCGTGTGAGAGACCCTGCCCAACCAAGCGAGTGTGAGAGAGATACCCTGCCCAGCCAAGTGAGTGCGTGTGAGAGAGGGAAACCCTGTCCAGTCACGAGAGAGAGAGAGAGAGAGAGAGAGAGAGAGAGAGAGAGAGCAGTAATAATAATGAGACTTCACTCAGTAATGGCATGGACATTGTAAATTGATAATTGTATACATCACAGGTGAGACATGTCAGGTAATGTTATACAGCAGGTGGCACTCTCGCCCTTATTACTATCACTAGCAGTAGTAATTATTGTGTCACTATCATCGCCAATGAAGATGACGCCACTTTCATTATCAACACTAATGCTGATAATAATAATAGCACCATCATCACTATCATCGTTACTGATGACAGTGTTGGCACTCTCACTGTCCTCTTCATTATCATTACCAAGAATTGTTTCACCATCCTCTTTTGGCCTTAATGTATCAGTACCATCAAAATCATTATCATCATCACCTTCATCGCCATTCTTGTTACCATCACTATCGCTCTCCTCTCCCTCAGTAACACTATCAATGAGTGTAATCACCATCATCATCATTACCGTCACCATTATTGTTATTGCTTTTATTATTATAATCACCATTACCTCTTCCCCTTTTGTGTCACCATTATTATCAACTATTGTATCGTCACCATCATTATCATCACCACATTTAACACTGCAGTCACCATCCATCATTATTTTCATTATTATTTATCACTGCCACCTTCATCATCATTATGTGAAGAACCTTTGATCACTGTCCGCCTGTGTTAACTCTCTCCCACGTTAACATTCATCTGTGTTGAATTCCTTTCATGGTAAAGTGCATTTGTGTTAACTTCTACATCACTGTATTTTTATGTTAATGTACGCCTGTGTTAACTCCCTCTCATGTTAATCTACGCCCATGTTAACAAGTTGTCGTGTGTGTGTGTGATGTGACAGGTGGGTGGCGGAGGAATGGGGGCCGTGCAGCGTGACGTGTGGGCTGGGCGTGCAGACCCGTGCCCTCACCTGCAAGATGAGGCTCTCCCCTGACCACTCCGTCGCGCAGCCAGAGGGAGCCTGTCTCACCACCCCAGACATCCCCAAGGCTCAGGTGAGGTCTCCAGGATACTGTGTTGGGGGAGCTGTGGGGAGGAGTAGGTAAGGACATTGCTGGGGAGAAAGAGGTAGGGACAGTGTTGGGGAGGAGGAGGAAGAGGTAGGGACAATGCTGGGGAGGAGGAGGAAGAGGTAGGGACAGTGCTGGGGAGGAGGAGGAGGAGGAAGAGGTAAGGACAGTGCTGGGGAGGAGGAAGAGGAAAGGACAGTGCTGGGGAGAAAGAGGTAGGGACAGTGCTGGGGAGGAAGAGGTAGGGACAGTGCTGGGGAGGAAGAGGTAAGGACAGTGCTGAGGAAGAGAAGAACAATTGTAAGGCTTAGTTGAAACAAGAATCTGGTAGAGTGTGTGTGTGTGTGTGTGCATGTGTGTCGTGAAGGTACAGTACAGTTTTGTGAACATACAGTATATTTTACTGTGGGAACTTAATAACATAAGATGCAGTAATATTACAAACAGTACAGCCGTGTGGAGGAACAGTACACTCATGATATACAACATGGTTAAGTTCCCCAGGTGAACAGATACAGTCAACCCGTAAACACAGCGACGAAGGTGAAGCGAGGAGGATACAGGAAGATTACAGTTACTCTGATTTATATACACATGACTGTACTATTATACGGTATTACTGTTAATATATTCTGTACTATGATAGCTATAATATGCCTCTATTACGAAGAAACATCAAGGTACTGTGAATATATTTTTTTACCACCTTGAGGGACCCCCTAAATCTTCTTTTACTTTATGCCTAATTTTTTCCTCTCTTCTCTGTAAATAAACTCCAGTAAAAGGTTCACAGTTCTGCTTCTGAGAAATTTATCTGACGACCATTTGACTTAGTGGCTTTATCAAGAAAGATATATTGCCAATTAACGTCATCACAGGTGCGTTTAATTATTCAGTACCTTGATGCGTATATGTAGGTCCCTGTCTCTTTTATGATTCTTATTTGCCCAGAGAACATACACACAAACACACTCATTCTAATGCTGGTGTTGATATATTGCTGAAGTTGATATATTTCCGGTGTTAATATAATTCTGGTGATAAGTTGATATAATTTTAATGTTAATATAATTCTGGTGTTCATATACGTAGTTATGGTGTTAATTTAATATAATTCTGGTGTAAATATAATTCTGATGCTAAGTTCAATATAATTCTGGTGTTAAGTTAGTGTAATTCTGGTGTTAAGTCAATATAATCTTTCTGTTAAGTCGATTCACTTCTTAGTATGAGTAATATAATTCTGATGATAATACGCCAACACCTTTATATTAAGTGAAAATAATTCCTGAATCTAATATAAATAATTCTTGAGTTAGTGTAATCCAGAAGCGAGTTAAGGTAATTCTAATGTTGAGTTAAGGTAATTCCAGCCTTATAACACTATAATTCTGGGTCGTCTGTGCTATAGAGGAAGATTATCACCTGAAGATTAGACACCACAGCTTATTTCACCTGTTGATTAAACACCTTAACACTAATTTGGGTATTTGGTTAGATTGGGGTTTTTGGTTTAGATTAAGTTAGTTTAAGTTAGGTTATGATAGATTAGGTTTGATTAAGTTAGGTTATGTTGGGTTAGATTAGGTTAGTTTAGGTTGGGTTATGTTAGGTTAAATTATGTTAAGTGATGTTAAGTTAAATTATGTTAGGTTATAGTAGGTTTAGTTAGGGTAGATTAGGTTATAGTAGGTTAGGATAGGTTAAGTTATACTTGTATTAGGTTCGGGTTAAGTTATATTAGGTTAGGTTTTGATAGGTTCGGTTAGGTTACCGTTAGGGTGGTTACTGTTCAGGTGGGGAGACTAATCCTCAGGTGATACCCCCCCAAGAAATATTATTATGGCCTGAGAAACCTTTGTACACACGAGAGGTGCTGAAGGTGCTCCGTCAGGTGATGATGGCCGCTAGTACCATTAACACGTTTTGCAAAAGATACAGATCAATCAGTGTGTCTTGCAGGTGTGCAACATTAATTAGCACGTCTCTGCAGGTGAGGTGCATCAATCACCCCTTTGACAGAGTCGCGTAAGGCTGAATATTAACGAGAAGCGGCGGCACATGTTATTTGTGGAGAGAAATGATTGTGAACGCCAGGACAGGTTGTTTAAAATAGCCCATGGAGATATAGTAATAATAGTAATAGTAATAATAATAAGAATGATCAACAAAAATAATGATGATGATAATACTACTTCTACTAACAATAATAATAATAATAATAATAATAATATTTACAGAATAAGTATATTAGGTGACCTCGGTGTAGAGAGCACTGAATTAATTGGTTCAGGTGTATAGACTAATTTAAGTTCTGACTCCTAAATATACTAATAGATAAACTGATCCGTCTGTACACTGTTTACCATTATATGTACTGGTTCAGATATACATAATACACTAGTAAACCTACTGCTTTAACTGTGTATCTACTAGAGAGAGAGACTTAGGTGTGCACGATACCAATAAGCGCATGGTTCCAGGTAAGCAAGATATTACCTTTTCCTTCACTCTCGTTGCAGGTGTGTGAGTTGGCGGCGTGCGACTCTGCCCCGACATGGCAGACGGGGGAGTGGGGGCAGTGTTCCGCCCAGTGTGGTCTCGGCACCCGTCACCGCTCCGTCACCTGCATCACTCCCATGGGCACCGTCCCAGACCATCTGTGTGATGCCCGAGACAAACCCAGCAACCAGGTTAGTGATCCCAGGAACACACACACACACACACACACGTAAGAAAACATCCGCAAACAAGGAAAAACACAGACACATAAAAAGTCATAAACACAAGCACTGTAAAACACACACTGAGATGAAAACTCACCATCGATTTAAAACACACACAAACATAAAAAACTCACACTCAGGCACAAATTACACACACACACACACACACACACACACACACACACAGTTGCATAAACACGTTGGCTGTTTCTTATACACACACAGTTGCATAAACAGACACAGTCATCCATTCATCCCCTTGAGAGACGACGTAACACCCACACGACCTCCGACTAATGGTGGGACACACGCACACACACACACACACACACACACACACGCACACGCACACACACACACTATTTTTTCCTAATATCTCACCTGACTATTACCTTCACCTTCATATCAATTAACCTTACCTGGATTGTCTGGATAATCATCAGTATTTACAAAAAAAAATGAATGGGTGTTTCGTGATCACACGTGCCTTCATAATTTCCTGACTTTCTTACACCCACTTGAAATTAGTAAGAAAGTTTAGTGACTGAGAGAGAGATTAATGTATGTAGTACATTGAAAATCAAAACCAGCCCAGAGTTCTTTATATTATACCAAACGTCGAGGGAGCTGTGATAGTGAGCTTGGTGATGATGGGTCCTGCAGGAGCTGTGTGATATGGGATCCTGTGCTACCGACACCTGGTTCTTCTCGGCGTGGGAGGACCGCTGCTCTGAGGAATGTGGCGACGGTGTGCAGCGGCGTCGTGTGCACTGTTCCGGCGACGCCCTCGACAACCAGGTGACAGAGTCATCGTGTGACCCCGAGCAGCGCCCCTCCACCACCAGGGCGTGCACCTCCGACCGTAGCTGTGGCGGCAAGTGGTTCACAGGTACGTGCTCCTCACCTGCCTCGTCTCCTACACTATCTTGACCAGAGACCGTCTAGCTTCATGTACATATATTTGTCGAGCCTTTTAAGGATGATGGTTTAATCTATATCTCTACAACAACAACAATTTAAATTATAACCTCCAGGGAATTAAACCAACGTCTTCTGGGGGCTATTTTAACATGTTTTCACAATGTAGATTATTTTTAGACATTAAATTTTCTTCTTGTTAAGGATAAATTTACTCACTGGATATTTTTTTCATGAGGAAATGTTAGTTATGACCTAAGCTGCATGGGTATAGGGCGTAATAATTGTGTCTGGAATATAGTGGAGGTGGTGGAAGCTTACCAGTAATGTCGTGGGCAGGTCCGTGGGGTGATTGTAACGCCGAGTGTGGGCCGGGGCGACGGTCGAGGTCCGTGGTGTGCGTGGTGTTCCGGGGCCGTTGGCGTGTCACTACGGATGTGTCTCAGTGTAAGGGCGATCCACGGCCAGACTCGACTGAGACGTGCACCCGTCCCTGCAGCCACGAATGGTACACGTCTGAGTGGTCACAGGTACGGTACTGATGGGTTATTGACAAAATGATATTCTCCTATCAGGTGACAGATACAAGATAATTAAATACCCATTGTTCCTGAACATATTATACCATAAAAACCTTGTTTACAGTAAGGTGACAGGAGATTCTCGCCACCTTATTGATGGATCAACTCTTGGACAAAAAAAAATGGTGGCGCTCTTCTGTTATTCTACCCAGCTCTGTATTTTTGTTTTGTTTTTAAGATTGGAAGTCATATCCTAATAAACAAAATTTGTATGTATGATTGACATCATTTTCGTGTGGTGTCCGTCAGTGCTCGGCGTCCTGTGCCAGCGGCGTCCAGCGGCGGGAGGTGAAGTGCCTGGATGAGCGTCAGATGCCGGCACTAGACTGTACTGCTGCCTCCAAACCTGACACCCGCCAGCCCTGCAACACCCAGTCCTGCCACCAGGGTCAGTCTGCTCCTCCCAGTCTTACTCTTACATTCTCTAAGCCTCTACCCTAAGGTGTATCGCCCCTGGGGACTGTACCCTTAGGTGTATCACCCCTGGGAACTGTACCCTTAGGTGTATCACCCCTGGGGACTGTACCCTTAGGTGTATCACCCCTCACTGTACCCTTAGGTGGGGAACTGTACCCTTAGGTGTATCACCCCTGGGGACTGTACCCTTAGGTGTATCACCCCTGGGGACTGTACCCTTAGGTGTATCACCCCTGGGGACTGTACCCTATACCCATGGGTGTATGTGTCACCCCTGGGGACTGTGCCATAGGTGTATCACCCTGGGGAACTGTGCCCTTAGGTGTGTCACCCCTGGGGACTTCTGCCCTTAGGTGCATCACCCTGGGGACTGTGCCCTTAGGTGTATCACCCTGGGGACTGTGCCATAGAGTGTATCACCTGGGACTGTGCCAGCAAGTGTATCACCCCTGGGGACTGTGCCCATGGGTGTATACTGAGACTGTGCCATGGGTGTGTCCCACAGGACTGTGCCATGGGTGTGTCACCCTGGGGACTGTACCATGGGTGTATCACCCCTGGGGACTGTGCCTGGGTGTATCACCCTGAGGACTGTACCCTTAGGTGTATGTCACCCCTGGGGACTGTACCCTTGGGTGTGTCTCTTGGGGACTGTGCCCTTGGGTGTATCACCCCTGGGGAATGTGCCATGGTGTATCACCCTGGGGACTGTGCCATGGGTGTGTCACCCCTGGGGACTGTGCCAGTGCCATCACCCTGGGGACTGTCACCCTAGATTAACATCACCCTGGGGACTCAACCTTATGGGTGTATCACCCTGGGGACTGTGCCAACAGGTGTAACCCTGGGGACTGTACCCATAGGTGTATCACCCCTGGGGACTGTGCCATGGGTGTATCACCCTGGGGTTGTGCCATGGGTGTCACCCCTGGGGGACTGGCACCCTTGGGTGTATCACCCCTGGGGACTGTGCCCATGGGTGTATATCACCCTGAGGGACTGTGCCCATGGGTGTATCACTGGGGACTGTGCCATGGGTGTGTACCCTGGGACTGTGCCACATAGGTGTAACACCCTGGGGACTGTGCCCTTGGGTATATCACCTGGGACTGTGTCCATGGGTGTATCACCCCTGGGGACTGTACCCTTAGGTGTATCACCCCTGGGGACTGTACCCTTAGGTGTATCACCCCTGGGGACTGTACCCTTAGGTGTATCACCCCTGGGGACTGTACCCTTAGGTGTATCACCCCTGGCGACTCTACCCTTAGTTGTATCACCCTTGGGGACTGTACCCTTAGTTGTATTACCCCTGGGGACTCTTCCCTTAGTTGTATTACCCCTGGGGATTGCACCCTTTGTTGTTTTACCCCTGGGGACTGTACCCTTAGCTGTATCAGCCCTGGGGACTGTACCCTTAGTTGTATTACCCCTGGGGATTGTACCCTTAGTTGTATCACCCCTGGGGACTGTATCCTTAGTTGTATTACCCCTGGGAACTGTACCCTTAATTGTATTACCTCCTGGGACTGTACCCTTAGTTGTATCACCTTGGGGACTGTACCCTTAGTTGTATTACCTCTGGGGACGGTACCCTTATTTGTATCACCCCTGGGGACTGTACCCTTATTTGTATCACCCTGGGACTGTACCCTTAGTTGCATCACTCCCCTGGGGATCAAAATTTAGGTGTGTATTACCCCTGGGGACTGTACCCTTAGTTGTATTATCTCTGGGACTGTACCCTTAGTTGTATCACCCGTGGGGCTGTCTCCTTAGTTGTATCAAATTTCTGGGACTGGTACCCCTTAGTCGTATTGTCTCTTTGGCGACTGTACCTCTTAGTTGTATTACCCTGGGGACTGTACCTTAGTTATATCATCCCTGGGACTGTACCCCTTATTAGACACCCTGGGGACTGTACCTTAGTTGTATCACCCTGGGAACTGTACCTTAGTTGTATTACCCCTGGGGACTGTACCCTTTAGTTGTATTACTTCTGGGGACTGTACTTAGTTGCATACCCCTGGGACTGTACTTAGTTAATCACCCCTGGGGACTGTACCCTTAGTTATATCACCCCTGGGTACTGTACCCTTAGTTATATTACCCCTGGGTACTGTACCCTTAGTTATATTACCCCTGGGTACTGTACCCTTAGTTATATTACCCCTGGGTACTGTACCCTTAGTTATATTACCCCTGGGTACTGTACCCTTAGTTAATCACCCCTGGGGACTGTACCCTTAGTTGTATCACCCCTGGGGACTGTACCCTTAGTTATATCACCCCGGGGACTGTACCCTTAGTTGTATCACCCCTGGGGACTTAGTTATATTACCCCTGGGTACTGTACCCTTAGTTATATTACCCCTGGGTACTGTACCCTTAGTTATATTACCCCTGGGTACTGTACCCTTAGTTATATTACCCCTGGGTACTGTACCCTTAGTTAATCACCCCTGGGGACTGTACCCTTAGTTGTATCACCCCTGGGGACTGTACCCTTAGTTATATCACCCCGGGGACTGTACCCTTAGTTGTATCACCCCTGGGGACTGTACCCTTAGTTGTATCACCCCTGGGGACTGTACCCTTAGTTATATCACCCCGGGGACTGTACCCTTAGTTGTATCACCCCTGGGGACTGTACCCTTAGTTGTATCACCCCTGGGGACTGTACCCTTAGTTGTATTACCCCTGGGGACTGTACCCGTAGTGAAGTGTCGTTATGTTTATTATTATTGCTGTTGTGGTATTTTATTCTTCTTGGTGCTTTTGTTGTTCTTTTTCATTCGTCTCCTCTCTTCCGTTTCTTCTTCACTTTTTCCAGGACCATTTTCTCATTCTCTGTCCATCTTGTAATATTGTATTCCCCCCTATTATATTCCTGATATTTTTTATGCATATCGTAACGTTTATCATCTTGTCTGTCTGTCTTTCACCCGTATTTCAATAAGGATGAGAAGTGGTGTTGGTGAGACGAGGTTGAGAGAACATGAGTCTCGCCTGGATGTCTCTGGCAACACTGTCAGCTAATGTTTACACTTGGTTTAGACCGTTGTCGAGGCAGCTCTAACTTACTGTACAGTATATTGGGTCTCATTTCCTGATACTGTTTACAACTTGCGTGTATGTTCAGTTGTTATTTCAGATTTGTTTGATTATGATGGTTCATTTGTGTGGGGTTTTATTTACAATTGAGAAAATTTTATATTTTGTATATTATCCATATATATTTTGGTCAAGGACGAGTCAGTTGTAATATAAATATAACGTTTTTTGCTCTGCATTTTTTCCTGTTCATTGTTCTCAAGTAAAGGTATTCTTACCTGGTTACAACTATATGATACAGGCTGCTGCTGCTGCTGCTGGCTGTACAAGATTAAAAAAAAAAAATCTCTCAAGGTCGGGTGTTAGTGAATGAAAAGTTAACACCTCAGTAACTCACAAGTCTCTTGCCATTTGAGTTTGAGATTGAGACTAAAAGAAAAGTCTTCTTGCCAGAATTTATAATATTAAGAGTTAAGATAGTGACACGAGTGTTGGCGGTGTTCCAGGTGCGGCCACACACACACACACACCTGCCCTCAAGGTGGAGTCAAGTTTCATTCATTCATTTGGAATTTATTGAGGTGTGTGTGTGTGTGTGTGTGTGTGTGTGTGTGTGTGTGGATCGTGAGAACTAGCAACTGAGAGGTATTAATACATCGTGAGGTAATATTTCTTAGTCATGATATCATTTAGTTATATACTGTATGTGTACTGTGTGTTCATAAGGGATGATTTATGGTAAGCTAAAGTAGCATTTAACCATAGATGATAGTTTGAATTAATGATTTACTTGTACCCATTGTTTTCCTTACTGCACAGAACAAGCTGACGAGAGCGTGAATAACTCCTCCACAAGAAACGACCTGCCACAGCTGCCCTCCGGCCTCCCCCCTGGCGACACCCCCGACCGCAAATCTTCAGGTAATGTGGCTCTTGAGGCCGGCTGGCGCCCCCCGCCCCAGTCACTGGAAGCTCCTAGTCCAGACTTCCGGTCTCCTGATGATATTCAGGACTATGACGAGGGCACAAATAGGGATACCGATTGGGATTGGGCCTCCAGAGGGGGCGATGAGGAGGAGGAGGAGGAGACCGAGCAGCCCTCCGACAGGTCTCCGCCTTCCCCAAGCATCAGGCGGCGGCGACCTGTCACCCCTGGGCGGCCATGGCGACCCGGGCTGTCCACAGGTTGGCCTGGAAGTTGCTGCAAGCTTATAATATCGCTGCTTGTCACTCTTTGAGATTAATTATTCCAATATTTTAGCTTACTGCTTGGGAACTATCAGAGACAGAGGCTTAGCTGCATACATTGTTAACACAGTGGCTGTTAATATGCTCTTCACCAGCACCAGAAGGAAGCTTAACTATGCTAGCAATATATGGATCTTATAAAACTGTATCATTTTGCTTATCTTGTGAGTGAGTCAGTTAGCTTGATGGTCTGCATCGGGAGGTTATGGCACCAGAGGCTTGATCGCTTGCACCTTAATAAGACTTAGCACAGGTGTGGAGGCTGTGTGGCAGTGTAGCCGGAGCTCCTCTCTTGTTAGCACACTGTGGGTCTGATTCTCTTTATTACTCTTATCCATTCCATTGGTTTTTTTTCTTATATTCATTAATAACATGAAAAGTTGTACAGGTGAACTGAAGGAAACTTTTACACAGTCGATGGTTTACTTTTCACAGGAATACAATTGTTACACAAAGTGGAATATTTTATGTTGTCATCCTTAGTGATCATATAGGGCGTAAATTAGAACCAGTTTTGTAAAGATTTATATGATTTTTGTGTTTTGTAAAAGTTGGACACGTCTGTTTAATTTAATATCAAATTTAACTAAAAAATCTTTCTTCAGTGAATGTTGAGGGGCCTGAATGTTAATGGTTAAAGAGTAATAACTATGGAAGTGTATAAAGCTTTGTGTGTGGGTTCTGGCTTTCCACTTGATGTGTTCTGGCACAGCCTTGTTCTTTCTGTCAGCTGGGTCTTCTTCAGCCTTGGTTCAGTGTCACCAGACGCTCTTAATGACAATACTGAAATACCTGGAATAATTTCTTCTTCCCCTCTGAACTGCACTGATAACCACCTCCCTCTTGTTCCAGGTTCCTGCATCGACAGAATGAAGAATTGCCACCTGGTGTACAAGGCTCGTCTGTGTCGCCTCAAGTACTACAACAAACTCTGTTGTGACACTTGTACCAAGAACCAGTGAGTTCTTAGTCATTATCGTAAGAGAGAGTGAGTGTTACTGCCAAGTGCCAGTGACCACTCTGTTGTGACACTTGCACCAAGAACCAGTGAGTTCTTAAGTCATTATACCTCAAGAGAGAGGGAGGGAGTGAGTGGTACGACGAGCGACCTGTGCTGGAGGAACTGTACTGAAGAAGAGGAGAACACTGGTCCTCAGTGCGCTGGTCGAGGAGGTGGGACCATCATATACAGGGTAGACTGTGGTGTCAGCAAGCCCCAATTTGCTTTCACAGTGAACAATATTACCGGAGATCGATAAAATGACTTGCGTAGGGGAGGTAATGTTCGCCCCGTATAAGCAAGACGTAGTCACTCCTTGTCGCCCTGCCACTGTCTGGTCCTACCCTCACCTCAGCCTCCGAGTTTGGTAAAGTTTTCCCTGCGGTTGTTTGATAAGGACTGTGACGTCACAGTTTGGTGCAAGCAGACTGACATTTCATTTCTACTCTCATTTTGTCATCCGAGCCTGCTTGAACCTTCATGTTATAAAATATAGACTTAGGTGTATAACACTGATGATAAGAAAGATGGGAGTATGATGATGGATAGTCATGAACTGAAGAAAGAATCCTTGTATATAAGTTTTGCTTAGCATAAGAGGAAGTTAAAGCACCCATCTTAACAACCAATACAGACTTTCTACGTAAAGTATGTAAATACTTACACTATTACTGTAGAGCAGAGTAACATTGTTCAGCTATAGTCAGTAGTCATAGAGAACGGAGCAGAGGTGGCACAGTGCCAGGGGGCACAACTGTAGTTTATATCACGCACGTTCTCTGCATCTTGAAGCACTGCCAGGACTGTTATTTTAATTTCACGCTGAAAAGCTGTGTATTTCATAGTAATAATTATTCATATATAACGCATATATCATTATTTTTATCTAAAATTTCATGAAAACTAAAAATATATTTTTTGTGTTTTCACTAAGAAAATTTATCTGGATCCATTGTGTGTCAAGGCCGTCAGGTTTACGTATTTGGAGTGCAGCTGCTGTGTCAGGCTGTCACCCTCATCTCAATCTAACAATTGATTTCCATTTGCTTACTTGATCACAGTAACTTTAAGTAAACTTGCATTAACTTAAAATTCAGATGAAGTAAATGAATTCTTCAAATTATTGTCAGTTAAATATAATCAATGATTTTTTGGATGATAATTTTGTTCATGTGATATAATTATGAGGTTTAGGACGTAACCTAACACCAGGTGGGCTTCAACAACCCGTAGGGAAACTAATGACCTCAAATAACCTAAAACTCAGTGTAATATGCCACAATTTGAGTTTATTTATTAATCACGTATGACCTGGAGTACGTGTTGTGTTCACGTTCTCGCCGACAGCTTTTCCGTATTAATTTTTATCTGTCTGTGTAGTAAAAATTGTCCCACCTTTGTCTACTTGGGATCATATGAACTGACATTTAGTTTTAATGATATATCACATACCAGACAAGGTTGTGTTGTGTGGTGGGTGTGTTGTGTGCTCTAGACAAGACACACCATGGAGGTAACACTAATGGGTGTGTTGTGTGCTCTGGACAAGACACACACCCTGATGGTAACACTAGTGGGTGTGTTGTGTGCTCTGGACAAGACACACACCCTGATGGTAACACTAGTGGGTGTGTTGTGTGCTCTGGACAAGACACACACCCTGATGGTAACACTAGTGGGTGTGTTGTGTGCTCTGGACAAGACACACACCCTGATGGTAACACTAGTGGGTGTGTTGTGTGCTCTGGACAAGACACACACCCTGATGGTAACACTAGTGGGTGTGTTGTGTGCTCTGGACAAGACACACACCCTGATGGTAACACTAGTGGGTGTGTTGTGTGCTCTGGACAAGACACACCGTGCAGGGTAATACAGCATGACTGTCACTTCCAAGGCTCCTTACTCTGCTCTGTTGTATGTAACAGAAGAACATATTATGTGTATATATTTTAAACGTAGCTTGGCATGGTGAATATAGACAACAATGTAATAGTTTGTAAGACATGCAAGAATAAGACTACTTAAAAACATATATATTAGTGTGAAGGTAAAAAAGTTGCAAGAGGAAGTTTGTTAAAGGCTTACTCACAGGTAACTCACAGGTGACTTATAAGTGTGAGGATGAAGTACGTGACCTTATAATGCGACACTCACACCTGCCTCAACCACAAGACGTACACACATCTCTAGCTGGACCTGACACTCTTTTCTGATAATTATTTGCAAACTGCTGAAATCTCTGATGTTGCGAGGCGCTCACATCCACACCTTGAGAGAGAGATTGGTATGTACCTGTATGTCTTTGTCTTTCTCAAAACCTCGGTATTAAGTGTTTTTTTTCGTAGACGGAAAAATTACTTGTTCCTTAATGACTACGGGCAAAAAAATATATGAATAGTTTGAGAAGGGGTTGTTGGTGGATAATATATATATATATTTTTTTCAAATTAAAGTTAATTTGAATTACTCAGAATGGATTAAGGTTATTTTAAATTTCCAGAAGTAGGTGGTGAGTGTACAGTGTGGCTCTCTCTCCCTTGTGTCAGGGTCTGGCCATTAGGGTTAAACAGTGTGTAGGGAGTTTGATAGTTCCTAGGAGTACCGCTTGCTGGAGGGGTGGTCGCACACACACACCTCAGCTGTCTTGTCAGTGATGTACAGAATCTTATAACTCAACTCTTCCTTTCCTGGCGTCTGTATTTTCAGATAACTTTCCAAACTGTGTTGAGTCTCAGTCTGGGAGAATTTGCTAATTTATTTACACTTCTATTAATTAACTTTGCCTGGTGCGGTAGGAGAGACTTTCAGCTGAATTAAGCCATTACCAGATAAACTGTACTGTGACCAATGTCTTGTCATTATATTATACATTTACGAATTAATTTTTCAAGAATTTTAGATTTGTTTGTATCTTATTACTCAAAACACTGCTGTAAGATACAGTTGTAGCCACGAGGGTGTGTCGTTAAGGGCTACAGTGTTGTGTCGCAGCTGGCAGATGATCGCCCATGGGAGCTCACTTACCAAAGATGTTTGTTTCTTTATTGCCCCGCGAGGAGTCACGTTTTTTGTTTGTGCTGGACCGTTGTGATGGTGACGCCGGCACTCACCCTCATACCGAGTGTAAGGTGACGGTGACGCCGGCATCCTCTCTCATACTGAGTGTAAGGTGACGGTGACGCCGGCATCCTCTCCTCATACTGCCTGTGGTGACTCTCTTGTTTATTGTACATAAGAGAAGCCAGACAAGAAGTATATATGGAAGCCTTCAAAAAGTGAACGTGAAAACATACAAGGTGTTGAACCACCTCTTAAAGATTTTTCTCAGTCGCCAGATGTTTGAATTTCCGTCCAGTTTAGATGCAAAATTCAACATACCGGTGGCCGAGGAACATACATTTCACACTGCGTCTCCAAAAGAGAAGAAAAAATTATATTTATACTTTGGGAATGATTTTCGTCTCCAAGACAGCACTGGAATCAAGGAGAAAGTTTGTACATGTTTACACTGTTGATACTAACACTCGACTATGTTGCTGTGCTTGGGCAGTCTTCCACTTGTACTCCTTCCACTCAGGGTCTCCTCTACTGGGCCCTTCTGCCCTGGTCTTGTCTCGTGCTTGTACTGTCTTCCAGCTGGTTTCATGATCAAATATCTCCTGTGGGGGGAACATGGTATTGGGGTTGGCAGCATGGTTATTGTCCAACTCGATATCCCAGGTTAAGAGACTAAGAGGCTGGCTGGAGTGTGAGTTAACGATAGGTCTCGGATACCTAGGGCCTCAGACTCTTCAGCCACTCATCCTGGGGTACACCGCCTTACACTGGTGGAAAACGGCATTCGGTGGATATATATTTTGATATATCACAGTTCTCCTCATAATCTTGCTCTCTTTCGCCTTTTCTTGTTTTTATCTTCTCTGTTTCTGGATTACATGTGATGAATTTTAGAGTAATTATATGGGCTACTACTGTAAATATTGCTGTATAATAAATGTGTATACAAATTTTTGTTTCTTTACTCCCACAAGAGAGAAGAAATGGACAACTACTGATGTTGTTGGAAACAAGATTAAGTTGTTTGTTATATCCCCAGTAACAGCAAAGGCACATACACGGACAAAATCGGTACGTTCACAAACTTGGACGAGAAGATCCGTTGGTAAGTTATGATAATGTGGAAAATACACAAAATATTACTATAAAGACCTGGAGTACTTACATCCTCTTCCACAGGATAACATCTATACACATTTTACGTTTTCTCGTTTTTTTTTTATTTGTAGTAAGTTTAGTCTTACAATACATTCATACAAACTCACTTTATGCAAACAACTCGGTTATGTTGACTTCCGAAGTTTGGAGCGAGAAAGTTGGACTGAGGCTGTTGCTATATTGGGCTGAGTTACTTCCTGCAAGTGTCGACGGGGAGAGACCAGCAACTGCCTACCAACACATTAGCGACAGGTAAGACACTTCTTTATTGGTGCAGGTAAATACAGATCATCGACATATCACCCAATATCTCAAGATGATTCAAAACGACAAAAATGGCGATGGGATAATTTTTGAAAGTGGTCAAGGTAAGTTTTCCCAATTCCTCGAAAATTACAAATGTAACCCAATAATAAAAACCCCAAATTCAGAGAAAATATCCACAACGATCTTAATGCAGCTTTGGCAAAAAAGTAAATACAATTCCAAGTCTTTCCTACAACATTTGGAGCCCAAGCAAATTATCCCCAAACCTTGAATTTTATCGCCTTTTATTACAAGTAATAATAATTTCGACAACATAGAGACTAGTATTACAAAATCTCGGTAAAATATTCACAATCCACAACTATCACAATGCTCCATGCATGTACTCAAGTCACTCGGGTATTTTTTGTTTTCTCGGAATATGATCACATTCGTCAACAAACTATGAGAATATAACGTGTTACTTCCTCCACTCGAGTTAAAGTTCCGTAAAATCTTGAACACGTATCAACAGTTTATATACTAACACATTAAAGAAAATCAAGGCCATATGCTCATTCTCTTGGTAATGCGTCGCAATCTCTAAAAAAAAAAAAAATAAAATAAAATAAATCTAGTATCCACAAAACCTGAGTACAGTACAGCACTCGTCGTGTCCACACTCAGGGACCCCAAGAGACGGGGTCGAGCAGTTCAGGAGTGTTATCATAAGTTTTTTTCCCCCCAAAATGAAGAGGAGTAACAAGTTGCAACCACTCACTGCACTTGAATATCGTATTTTTGCTTAATTAAATAACAATAATATTTCATTAACTTCAACTGAATTGTCATTTGAGTAATAAGGAGTAATCCCACTGACAATGGTAACGATCATTAATCTCAAACATTCCTATACTTAGATAATTCAAAAGAGACATGGAACATAGAACGTATTTGTAGGCCAATGTATAATGAATGGGTAAGACAAACTTTTTTATTACTTTAAATGGCTGTTGTAGAAAATACTTTATCCTTTCGAGAAAAATTAGTACCCCAGCTCTCTCTGAACTACTCTGTGTCTGCGCATGCGTAGCTCAGTCTGTTCATTTGTTCACCAGTCACCGACTTACCTGTGTCAGGTGTGTGTCTGTGTCCATTGTTCCCACGAAAATTTGGTGAGTAATTTTGCTGTTTTACGACGATATTAATGTTTATTGTTGTTCTTGGTTTATCATAAGTTAATGTTCCGTAATTGTTTCCTTGTTTGTGATTATTATAAACGGCTGAAGTTGTTAGAGGCTTTGTTTACATGATAATTTGGCGAGTAGTCAGTAATCACCCCCCCCTCCGCCAAGTGCTCCTCCCGAACACAGTAACAAGATCACTAGATTACAAGATGTTGTAACCGCTAGATTAAGGTTAGGATATAAGTACCTCTGGCAGTATGTTCCTCAAGCAGATGTAAACAAAACTAAATGTAAAGTGTGTGGCCATACATATGGCCACACACTTGAACACTACGTCCTCGACTGTGTGAAGATAGAACCTTTTAGGGACAGGTCCAAGCACACTGTGTGTGAAATGGCACAACACTTCATCTCTAATGGCAAGATAGCCGACATATTAAGATTGTATCCACTTTTTTGCACTCAGTAACTATATCAGTTCTCATGTACAGAACCAAATACACAATGTGCTTGAATACCTCCCACGTAAATGTGAATAACAAAGTGTGAGGCCAGACATACTGCCTCACACGCCTGTACTCACGCATTTGTGAATAAGTTACCCTTTATGTATAGAACTAAACAAATAATGTAAATGAAATACTGTGTAACTTTCGGTGCCATAATATCCTGACAACCGGGGTTAATTATTATGACCCTTTGTAAACCCTACTCTGTAATCCTTTTGCGCTACCGCTCACAGGATGAGTGTGGGGTGCACAATAAAGTAGCCGCTGCAAGCGGCAAAGTCAAAATAAAAAATCAATCCTCCCGAACATCAGACGTTACACACAATTTTGTTCCGTTGAACGATTTCACCGATAGGACACAAGGGTTTGGGGACTTAATTCACGGGTTACATTGTACAGGAGTGAGCAGTTACCGTACTTTGACAGCACTGATAGAAACTAATGGTAATTAGTAAACATAAATTTACCTGGAAACAAAGACCGCGGACGCTCCTGTATAGCAGACGATGTGAACGCCACGGGAGATCCGACGGGTCCATAATTACGGTAAATAATTTATTTCTTCGTCCACAAAGCGCGTAGAGACGTGAAATTACTGCTTTATGTTCAGTGTTCGCTTTTTTTTACCCCGTTATTTCCTTTTCCTTTCATGTCCTGCCTACAAACAAGTAATTTATGATCGAAGGATATGTATGGCAAGTGTATCTGACAGCATTTTTTTGGTCAATTCAGGATAATAGCCAGGTTGCGGTTAGGTTGGGTTAGGTTAGGTAGTGAATTCATAGTAAAGCACCTGTCTTTTTCTCGCTGTTATGTATTTTGTAATGTTTAGACATTTCTAAGATTTCATTACCAGATATGGCTGAACAGGTTGAAGTGCTGTGCTGACATTGTGATAGATTATTTTACGTAAATTGCCGAGTTTCATCAGAAAAATAGTGATGTAATTTAATTTTTTTAGAAAACACGGTGTATTACTGAACAACGTTACTTATCCAAAGTGTAATAATCAATGTACACTGCGTGGAAAACAACACATTTGGCCTGATTCTTCTTCAGATTAAGGTAAGATGTGGGGGCATGAACAAAGGTTAGGTGAGGTTAGTTTTTGTTGTTGCTTTTTTATACGCTTTTTCCTATGTTTGTTTTTATGTTTTGAACGATTTTTGCCTTGTTCTCCATTGGAAATCGCCTGTTTCTGTGATTTACCCAGCAAAAAACTCCATTTTTCCAACAACCTCCCTTAAGATTGTTATTAAAAAAAAAAAAAAGTTATCTCCGGCGGAAATGAATATCAAATTTGTTCGAAAATCATAAAAAAAAACTATTGGAAAACCATATTTTTAATATCCAAAGAAAAAGCGGGGTTTTTCTATAAATTTACTGGTAGGTTAGGTCAGGTCAGGTCAGGTCAGGTCGGTTAGCACCAGAAGCGAAAGTCAGATTCGTTCGAATCACAAGAAGAACCAAAGTAAAAACGTATTTCTTATGGAAAAATCGAAACCTGGCTACTGTCATAAATCGACCGTTTTTTTTTTTTACTGTGTAGAACTGTAGATCTTTTGTGGGTAAAAATAATGCGGTAATGCTTGAGAACGATAGTGCGCCTGAACCACCAACTATTGGACACTTCCATGGAAAATATTTGGTTTCTCACTTAATGAGACCGACAAAAATGGACAAGGAATATGTTTTGCTCAATATCAGTTTTGCTCTGTAGTCAACCACGGCGTCTTTTTTTTTACGTTTAGGACTGTTTTTTGGTTCATTTTCTAGACAGGATGGTTTTTTTTTAATGGCTCGTTTGTTTTATGAACAGATATTCCATGTGTAGCGTTCTCGGACGTCCCTTGTATATAATGCGCAAAAGTCGAGATTATTTTATTGTTTCGTCAACATGGTTACCAAAAAAAAAAATGGAATTGAATTAAAATTTATGGAGACATTAATATCATGATCCTGAACATGAAAATGGAAGCGATAATGAACAAACCTAACAGAACCTGACCTGACCTAACCTTACCTTACTTAACCTTACCTAACCTCACCTAACTTCTATTTTCGTGTACAGTATCATGTTACTAGTGTCTCCGCAAAGTTTGATTTAATTCCATTATTTTTTTCTGGTGTTATTAGTTTTGGCAAAATAATCTAGCCTTTTGCACATGGGCATTATATACAAGGGGCCCTCTGAGTATGGGGGACGTCTGGGAATGCTACACCGGACCTTGGTGACGGATTCCACCAGAAACGCCTGGCAATTGCTAACATTCCCGAAACACTTGATACTGCTACATAATACAATTTATCGTTCATAAAATGAACCTAACTTAACCTGCCCGACGTACAGGTCTGCGTGAATCTAAAAAAAATTCCTCTAGCCCACTGGGTTAGTAAATTTTTAACTACGAGCTCACCGAAATTCCCACTATCCCGTAATTGTTTTCGAAATGTGAGAATATCTTGTAAAAACGTAGTGACACAAACAAATGTTGCTGCACAGAATGAATACACTGTAAATCTTATTGGATCATATAAAATGCTTCATGACTGACCCACCTACGCTTGTGGTGGTGGAGTTCATCAGTAGTGTGTGTGTGTGGTGTAACACGAATGATGCAATTCGTGCACTCTCTTCCCGTGATGATTACCATCACCATCGTTTGAATTAAATTACCTAAAATCTTACCATTTTTCTATGGCTGAATGCGTATTGAACTGTTAAAACTTGGGCTATCAACTGAGGAGTCAAACGTATGCAAACGCTCCCGTCATGATTCGTAAAGCAGGTTTTTGTTTAATTTTGATACATTCTCCCTTTATTCATTGCTAGTGTTAAATAATAAATTA